TTTTTTTTTTTTTTTTTTTTAATAACAAACTAGCCCTGTCTATTCGAGGTTTCTTGACTTGAAAAGGAGAGGAAAAGAAAGAAAATGACAGTCGTATGTGTTGATGGTTAACCCATGCCAGAGATCATTTAGATCATTGTTAAGTTCGATGTCAACATGTTTTTCAGCACCATGCTTATATATATTCCATTGAAGTCAGTAATGATAACTATGAAGTTGAATGAACTAATAATTACTGTAATTGTGGTTGTTCATTGCAAACCTTTGCCTGTGCAGCCAGTGGGCATGTATTTGCATGGGGAAGGGGAATGTTCGGTCGGTTGGGGTTGGGTGCAGATGCTGACAAAAGCATCCCGACAGCTGTACAGCTGATCGCAAGCAGCAGGGATGACATGGATCTTGCAGTAACTGGCACGGATTCTCATGAAGAGGTTGGGCAATTATCGACGACGCGCATCCGCGACACATCCACTGCAGAAAGTTTAACTCAGCAGAAGGTCCTTGGGATTGCTGCGGGAGCCTACCACAGCTTAGCTCTCACAGGTTAGTCCTCCTCCTCCTCCTCCTCCTCCTCCTCCTCCTCCTCCTCCTAGGAGCTAGGAACTGCTGATGATAAGCACTGAAAAGCTAAACCTCACTGCAATGAGCCCGCCGAAGGTAGGATGCTGCGGCAAGCTACAAACAGGAATAGAACATTAAGTAGCCTTCTTCTGCCCCTGCTCCCCCTCCCCCGCCGGCACCTGCAGCCCCTCGCTGCGTACACTTTCCACCCTGCCCGTCCTGTTCACAATTAGCACAAAAAAGGGACGGCTCACATCTTCAGTTTTTTTTAACAGCTGCTGCTCTTTTTTTTTTCTTTTTTTTTTTGTGCCCTACTCGCCACGGTGAATTGGCAGTATGCACAGGCCCCTTTTTTTTCAAGGATGGAATAATTTGTCTTGCCGTTGAAGTTTCACAGCTGAAGGACTCAGACGGAGGAGGGACTAAGTATTTTGCACATGTATGGTTTTGCGGAACCGAGGGAGGAAAGGAGAAGCTACAGGAGAGGAACCTTGACCGAACACCTTTTGCATAAACGATATGGGACACTCAAAGCCTATGTTCTGTTTGCAGGAAATGCACAGCTCTTTTTTTTTGTTGCTTTTTGGTATTTTACTTTTTTTTTTTTTTTTCTTTCCAATCTTGTGCTTTTGCTTGTTTGTTCTGAGAACTCAGGATTTTTTCTTATGGTCGCGATTTGCAGAGATGAAGGGAGACATTCCCGTTACTGCTGATCTTGGTGTGCGCTCGTGGGTATATGTGTGTATGTATATGTGTGTGCATGTGTGTGCATGTGTGTGCATGTGTGTGTGTGTGTGTGTGTGTGTGTGTGTGTGTGTGTGTGTGTGTGTGTGTGTGTGTGTGTTGTCATATTCGCTATACACTCAAAAAAACATGACTGTGCCAGTGTGCCAGACTGTTTCATCAGACTTTCACCGACTCATCAGGAGGTTGAACCTGGACAGACAGTCTGCCCAGGATTCATTTGACTGATGGATAATGATTTACCACATCGCCCAGAGTTAGCGACACCCTTGAGAAAAGTAAGTGTGTGTGTGTGTGTGTGTGTGTGTGTGTGTGTGTGTGTTGAGGGAGATGGCTCGGGGGCGATCGAGCGGAGGGGGTATGCATGGTGGCAAGACTGTTGAGAAAGTCATCTTGATGCAGATGGATATGGTACACTGCAAGAATATGGTGTGCACCTTCAGGAACTGCAGAGTACTTTTGTGTGCAATGCCCATGGTACAAGCTATTATAACTGTCTGGTGGTGATTTCTGTCAGGTAGTTTGGCTGCAAGCTTTTGCCAGGTTTTTGTCAGTTTTGTCAGCATTGTGAAATACTTCTGAAATACATTAAAAAAATATGCATAAAGAACCAAGGGGCCTATCTCAGTTGGTACGCCCGTGAGCTGTTGAAATACAGAATCAAGTTCGAATCCAGATACCTTCCCTCAGATGAAGAGAATACTAAAATCATTCTGAATTGCCTGGGGCCGGTCAGTCCAATGAAAAGATATCTCAAGACCGTCGCCATGTCGAAAACACTTTTATTGTCACTCGCAAGCCCGCAGTGTGCTCATTGTTCCATGTCTTGCTGTATGTACGTGCTGCTACCGCTCTGTCAGCTGAATGACCGATTGCAACAGCATCGTACGCTATCGTAATCGTAAAGAAGTGTAGGACAACAGGGATATATGAGCAATTGGTGGTGGCAGACGATTCGTGCAACACAGAAAGAGCGTTTCTCACGAAGCAGTTGTTAGGCATACTGAGAATTCACGGTTGTAGAATTAGAGGCGAAGATCGCACTTGCCTGACTTTTTAGTTTCTTGCCGTAGATTTGGACAGATCGATGGACGAAGATTTGTTGCAATCCAGATACATGGGGGATCTCGGCTTTTGCATCAATAAAGTGGAATTTGTCCAAATTTGTGGTCGGGAGCGGCTGCTGCTTTTGGACCGTGTCAGCAAGCGCCCGTCCGCTTTGTTTTCTAGAATCGGCACCTGTAAAAGGACTCCAAAGTTTGGCAAATGACCCCCTGCCTAGTGGACTCAGACGAATGGTACGGAGTCTACGGACACATGTAGCCGTTGTTGAACAGATCAGGAGTTCAAATCTTTTGATGGAATCGGATTTCTGGATGAGAAAATCGCACAACGAAGTTGAGTGTCTGCCTCCTCCTGACGAGTCGGTGAAACTCCAACTAAACAGTTTGTCGCAGCCCCTCGTTTGTTGTCCTCTTCTCCCTCTCTCCTCCTGCGCTTTACCTGGCAGCTCTGTTTGACGATATACTTACGATATATTTACGATATATTTACGAGTTTTGTTTGTTAGTACTTAGTAGGTTTCTAGGACTTATACTAATAAGTTATTACTTTTGTCGTCAAGCTTTTCTCTTGCTGGTTATGACGTGGCATGCCTAAAGATTCTTTAGGGCTATTTGTCTGACCTCGTTGCATTTTATTTTCATCAACTTGTGTGCTACGTTGTGTTTCTTGTTCTTTTTGTTTTTGGATCTTGGGTTTTCAGAGGATGGGAGTGTTTGGTCGTGGGGTTATAATGCATGTATCCTTTTATCAGCAATTTCGAAATTTCTGAAGATCTAGCAAAATTTTGGAGGAAAAAAAAGAAGTAACATTTGACGGTCGAGTTTAAGGTTCAAGGCTTCAAGCTTTTTAGAGGAACAAAGCTGGTGCTCTCTCTCTCTCTCTCTCACACACACACACACACACACACACACACACACACACACACACACACACACACACACACACACACTCCCCTTCGATTCCCCTTTGGAGTACAAGTGTGTGTGTGTGTGTGTGTAGTAATTGCTTTAAAGTTTTGACGATTTGATCCCACATACTGGATATTCGGTGGACAGTTAATTGGCTGTCGTAGGAAGGAGTGGCTGTAAATTTTGTGATATGATGATTGTTGGGGGTTGACGGGTTACAGGAGGAGTAGAAAGATGGTGAGGCGGGGTTTCAACCAGCTAGGAGTTTAGAGGGAGGGTGAGAGGGGGTTAAACAGGGAGGGGAGGGGAGGAGGGGAGGAGGGGGGGGGAGGACCGAGATACGCCTCATGTGTTCCCTTTTACCTGCAGGAGACCGGAGTTATCTGGATCTGCTGCGTCCCACAGGGGGTCCCACAGGAGGTCCCACTGGCAGGGTGTTCTTTCCTGGTGGCATGAGCCATGGAGATTGAGAATGCCCGAGTGCATCTCAGATCTCATGAAAACGAGAAAAGAGTGGGTGTATCGGGGCATTTTCCCAAAGCAAAGGCCTGCGAAGCTAGTGTCATCCTTATTATTTGTTAATGCCTCATTCTGCAACCCGAGAACATGAACTTCCTGAAGTATAAATGACGACGCACCGTGGATCAGCATGCTGCGGCTAATATGGTACTCGTACCGCGGTGAATAGTTACAAACTTACAAAGCCCATTACACCAGGGGAAATTCCTTTTCCCGAAATCATCTCTATGGTAAACCGCCAATGGCTTTGATAAGTTGTGCACTTCCAGTGCCCAACTTTTTTTTCGCATCATGGTTTCATACAGCAATCCGCATCTACATCACGTTGTGTAGGGACTCAGGAGTGGCTTCTTCCATGGACGGCAGTAGTCTTTTGCTGTGAAAAAACGTTGCCTGCCTTGCAAGTGGTAGCCAATTCTCTCTCTCTCTCTCTCTCTCTCTCTCTCTCTCACACACACA